CTGGCCTGTGTTATGCCTTTCTCATATGCTTGTTCGCGCACTCTAATTATTCAATAATTGTTACAAGTATATGACATCTACACTTTTAATGCCGATATCAAACGGCGGATTTTTCGAGAGATATTTCTGTGGGCAAGGATATTCTCGGGAGATTGCCGCGGCTTTTTCCGAGAGGAGGCACGAGCAAATATTTTGGTTCCTTTACCAGGATCCGGGACCTCTGGATCCTGATGACCAGTGCGCTGTCTGCCATGTCATGTTCGCGCTCTAGATAATGTGTGCCTTCCAACAAGCGACACAAGTACAACACAGTGATTATGTCATCCTTATTTAACATTGACAAACAACAAGGATGCAATGATACACTGTCATCTGTGTTGCTTGTTGGAAGACACACAATACAATTACCTATATTATTATAATTCTACTACAACACTATAATACTTTATTATACCATTTTAGAATATAGTTCAACTCACCTGTTATGAATGATAAATAAAAATGAATTATGGCTCCTGCACACTGGACGCGGAAATGCTTGCCGTGCGACAAAATGCAACACAGTAACCAATGAACATGTTAGGAGCTGTAAACTTATTGGCTGTCGCGTCACATTTTTCCACGCGGCAAACAGTTTTCGCATCCAATGCGCAGAAGCCATTAAACCACAGTTTAGTGCTAAAAAAAATATATCACCAAATATTATTAATTTATTGAAAATTTCTATAATGTAATCAGGTCATACAGCCAACTCCGGATTTATCGCCATGCGGAAGCGAAGTCGGTCTTTATGCCGGTGCAGTCGGCAGCCTTATGGCGGCGTCATCGGGCAAAAGAGCACCGTTGGCATCGATGGGTAGCGTAGATCCTCCCGATCCAGATACCAGGTCGCTCGGCTCCGATTCCGTCTTTCTGAAGAACGAGGACGAGGAGCAGTGCGTCGATACTGAGGACGAGGTCTCGGGTTTTTCTACGGACTCGGATGCGCCTGGGCCGAGCTGTCGGCGGTTCCTACGGGTGCCTTCTAGGAAAAAACGGATCCCCGAAAAATGGGACGGATGCGCGGGCTGCGTGCCCAGGCGACGGGCCGGTAGTAAACCGTGCCAAGAATGTTTGACCATCAGTGCCGCCGTCGAAACCTCCAGGTAAATTCCTAATACGAATTCACACGAAAAAGAAAATGTTGTCTGTCACAAGCAACAGATAGACTGTATAGCTGCGACTGTTTAAAAAGCGAAAAACTTTTTTGTTATCACAACTAACAATGTAATAACGGACATGTGTAAATATTAATGATCGCAAAAATATCAGACTTTTCAATCTACTTAAAATTCTCTTAATGATACAAAATTGGATAGAACAAAATAACTATAAAAAGATTTTCTCCCAAAAAGCATCATCGAAGAACTTGATTATTATACTTGTTATCAATATTTACGCATTTAAGCACTTGTATCTGCGCTTCGCTTTTTTCCTATGATTATATATTAAAATACACTCGTCTTCTCTTCTTCTTTAATTAATGAACTTTTGATAATAGGTCGCAACCAGCCTCAACTACAACCAGTAGCAGTCAGAGTAGCGTGGGATCTCCACCGTGTTCACCGCCGATCGAGCTAAGGCACAGACCACCATCAACGCCATTACCATCAATTCCACCAATATGGTCCCAAGAAACGCTCTTTTAGAATGCACCTTTCGTAGTGAGCATGTCCTTCGACCTGTTTTTATCGAGATACGAAGCTAAATTCAGAATGTCGATATCTGAGGAAATCATTTGCTCAAAAGTTGAACATTAATCTAATCTTTAACCGTCTTGTACTTTTAGAAAACAACCTCTTTTTTTTCTTGAATCTTGCCGTCATTAAAACTCCAGATAATTATAACGTATATGAATTTGGAGATTCAATTGTTATATCGATCGGTGAATTCAACTATAATTCACAAATGCAAAACAATTGTCGTATGGAATTGTTATAAAACTATTTTTAAACATCTAAATTTTGATGTAACGAAATTAAAAGAAAACAAAATAAAATTACGTATATTGGATACCACACTTAATCTTTATAAATGGCAAGAATGAAGAAAAAAGTTACGTAAAGGACAAATGTCAACTGATGAAGGGAAAAGACGAGAGAGGAGCATATACGAAACATAGAAAAAGAAAAGCGACGGAAAGCATTTTCCGAGAGCGCGAGGAAATATCGGAGATTTTCG